CAGGCAACAAACAGCTGCCAGGCAAAAAACAGCTCAGGCAATAAACAACTCAGGCAATAAACAGCTCAGGCAAACAAACAGCTCAGGCAAACAGCTCAGGCAACAAACAGCTCAGGCAATAAAAGCTCAGGCAACAAACAGCTCAGGCAATAAACAGCTCCAGGCAACAAACAGCTCAGGCAACAAACAGCTCAGGCAACAAACAGCTCAGGCAACAAACAGCTCAGGCAATAAACAACTCAGGCAACAAACAGCTCAGGCAACAAACAGCTCAGGCAACAAACAGCCCAGGCAACAAACAGCTCAGGCAATAAACAACTCAGGAAATAAACAGCTCAGGCAACAAACAGCTCAGGCAATAAACAGCTCAGGCAATAAACAGCTCAGGCAACAAACAGCTCAGGCAACAAACAGCCCAGGCAACAAACAGCTCAGGCAACAAACAGCTTAGGCAACAAACAGTCAGGAAACAAACAGCCCAGGCAATAAACAACTCAGGCAACAAACAGCTCAGGCAACAAACAGCCAGGCAACAAACAGCTCAGGCAACAAACAGCTCAGGCAACAAACAGCTCAGGCAACAAACAGCTCAGGCAATAAACAGCTCAGGCAAAAACAACTCAGGCAACAAACAGCTCAGGCAACAAACAGCTCAGGAATAAACAGCTCAGGGCAACAACAACTCAGGCAACAAACAGCTCAGGCAACAAACAGCTCAGAATAAACAACTCAGGCAACAAACAGCTCAGGGCAACAAACAGCCCAGGCAACAAACAGCCTGGCAACAGAACACCAGCAATAAAAACTGACCACGTGAGATAAAGATAGTGGCTCGTGGAGGGAAGGAAGGAAGGAGGGAGGGGAGGGAAGGAAGGAAGGAGGGAGGGAAGGAAGGAGGGAGGGAAGGAAGGAAGGAGGGAGACAGGGAGGGAGGGAGGAAGGAAGGAGGTAGGGAAGGAAGGAAGGAAGGAGGAAGGGAAGGAAGGAAGGAAGGAAGGAGAGCAGGAGGGAGGAGGGAAGGAAGGAGGGAGGGAAGGTAGGAAGAGGAGGAAGGAGAGGAGGAAGGAAGGAGGAGGGAAGGAAGGAGAGGGAAGGAAGGAAGGAGGGAGAGCAGGGAGGGAGGGAGGAAGGAAGGAGGGAGAGCAGGGAGGGAGGGAGGGAAGGAAGGAGGTAGGGGAAGGAAGGGGAAGGAAGGAAGGAAGGGAGGGAGGGAAGGAAGGAAGGAAGGAAGGAAGGAGAGCAGGAGGGAGGAAGGAAGGAGGGAGGGAAGGTAAGGAAGGAAGAGAGGGAGGAGGGAGGGGAGGAAGGAAGGAGGAGGGAGGAAGGAAGGAAGGAAGGAAGGAGGAGGGAGGGAAGGAGGAGGGTAGGGGGTTAGATATATATTAATGAACTCTGGGGTTATATATTCTCTATCTATCTGTCTGTCTGTTCTATTTATCTATCCATCTGTCTGTCTATCTATCTGTCTGTCTATCTGTCTGTCTGTCTGTCAGTGACCTTGTATACTTTAGTGAGAGAGAGAGAGAGAGAGAGAGAGAGAGAGAGTATGAGTATTTACACCACTGCCACCACCAACCCAGGCAGGGTGTCTCTGCCACCACTCACACACAACTGACTCTGGCCTCTGTGTTTCTAGGTGTTAATGTTGTCAGAGCTGCTGTAAGTGTTGACAACGTTTAAGGCATCTCCTGACAACACTCTCATGCCTTCTGACAACACTAAGGCCTAATAACAATCATTCTTGCTGACAACACTCCCACTTAGTCAATGTTATTGGACAACCTGACAGCACCTGCCACCATATCATCAAACCACCACCACCACCACACTACCACCACCACATTCCCACCACCACATTCCCACCACCGCATTACCACCACCACCACACTACCACCACCACACCACCACCACACTACCACCACTGCACTACCACCACTGCACTACCACCACACACTACCACATCACACTACCACCACCACATTACCACACCACACTACCACCACACTCACCACCATTACCACATCACCACAGTGTAGTAATGTTAGTGGGTGCGAGATGGTGGCAGGGGTATCAGGAGTGAGTGAGGGGGGTGTCAGGGTGAGGTAAGTGGGGGTGACAGTATCTCGTTAACATCCTGTAGGAGATAAGATAATAACACGGAGGGGGTGAGGGGAGGGAAAGGGGGGAGGGGAGGAAAGGGGGAGGGTAGGAGTGAGGGGAAATATCCATAGAGGTAAAGGAGGTTCAGCCATTGTGCACCTGAGATTAATGACGTCACCATTATCCTTATGACGTCACATTTACCTGGTGACGTCATCCTTACCTGCCCATACGCTCATTAAGTGACGCAATCCTTTAAGCGTTGTCAAAATACACACTTACTGATCACCTGGAGAGAGAGAGAGAGAGAGAGAGAGAGAGAGAGAGAGAGAGAGAGAGAGAGAGAGAGAGAGAGAGAGTCACGTCGTCATTAGGTTTTACCTTAATTAACAACTGCAGGTAATTAAGATAGCGCCGTCAAGAACCTGTCTGGCTGGGCGTGGGGAGGTGGGCGTGGGGAGAGAGATGCCGTATATATATTTGCTATATTAATTGACGTCAGGAAAAATAAATACAAAAATATTTCCTGGCCTAATAACAGGTACAGGTAAAGGTACAACACACACACATGACCTCCACCTGTCTTAGGTTAGGTTAGGTCACCTATTTATTAACACCAGATGAACGCTGATAGTCCAAGACTCACCTGGGAGGTTCACACGTTGGGTGTCTGACACCCTAAACTACTGCCGAAGGAGGGTGGAGCCACAGTGGCACCCTAAACTACTGCCGAAGGAGTGGTAGAGCCACAGTGGCACCCTAAACTACTGCCGAAGGAGTGGAGCCACAGTGGCACCCTAAACTACTGCCGAAGGAGTGGTAGAGCCACAGTGGCACCTAAACTACTGCCGAAGAGGAGAGCCACAGTGGCACCCTAAACTCTGCCGAAGGAGTGGTGGAGCCACAGTACCCAAACTACTGCCGAGAGGGTGGTTGCGCACCCCAACTACTGCCGAAGGAGTGGTAGAGCCACAGTGGCACCCTAAACTACTGCCGAAGGAGTGGTAGAGCCACAGTGGCACCAAACTACTGCCGAAGGAGTGGTAGAGCCACAGTGGCACCTAAACTACTGCCGAAGGAGTGGTAGAGCCACAGTGGCACCCTAAACTACTGCCGAAGGAGTGGTAGAGCCATAGTGCAGTAGTGTAGCTAATTAGGTCGCCATTACTGTGTCGTGGAGTATGGGAACCAAATGCACGGGTTCTCACATCTCCAGTTAGTTGGCAGATTGAACTTGAGAACCTTTGAGAACCTATGAAGATCTTTGAGGACCTTTGAGAACCCATCTTTGTGTCATAGGTTTAGTTGAGCCAATTAGATGTGTTCTTGAACCCACTAAGTCTCTGAGAAATGAATTATTTGGAACCTTTGAGAGCCTTTCTTTGTGTGGCAAGGTAAGGTAACTGGTAGATATGCTCCACCCCCCCTTCCCTACACACACACAACGATTCGCTTTCTGTGCAGTTGCGACGCTCACCCGCCTAGCCTGACCTATTTTGGTGGGAGCTAGAATCCGCTGCACCTTGAAACAGCAGCAGCGGCGGCGGCTCGTGGTTGACCTATTTTCTCGAGATCTATATCATGTGTGCAGCTGTAGCCGGCCGGTGGAAGGGGATAATGGGGGATGGGGAGAAGAGGGGGTGTGATTGAGATGGGGAGGGGGTGATGGGGAGTAGGTGGGGAGGTAGTGGGAGAACTGCATGACCTATTTCCCAAGGATGCGCCAGTCACAGTAGCGTGCCGGGTAAGAGGAGGAGGAGGGTGACCTATTTTCCAGTAGCGATAACTAGCGCCGTGTGTGTTGGTCATGGCAACACGAAGGAGGAGGAGGCACGGGAAGAAGAAGAGGAGGAAGGGAGGGTGTTTACTGCTGGTGAGGAGAAAGTGGACCTCGGGCACAATGGTGGTAGTAGTTGTGGTAGCGTAGTATTGTTGGTAGGGATAGTAGTTGTTGTGGTAGTAGTAATAGTGGTTATTGAATGACACGAGTACCAATCTTTAAATCACGCCGATGATGGTGACGATAGTGGTGATGGTGACGATAGCTGTTATGGTGACGATAGTGGTGATGGTGACGATAGCTGTTATGGTGACGATAGCTGTTATGGTGACGATAGCCAATTAGTATAGCTCTTCCCAGTTCAGTCTATCTTCATCAAAATAGTTCGTCAGTGGATGGCACTCTGGGGTGGCACTAAGGGTGGCACTAAGGGTGGCACTAAGGGTGGCACTAAGGGTGGCACTAAGGGTGGCACTGGGCGGGTGGCACTAAGGGTGGCACTAAGGGTGGCACTAAGGGTGGCACTAAGGTGGCACTAAGGGTTGGCTATGACTCTTCCAACACCTGACTGATACAACACTTCCGGAAAGGTTAAATTAGTGGCATAGTTATAGTGAGCAACACGAGGTGGCCTGCCCGCCCCGCCCTGCCCCCGCCCCTGCCCCGCCCCGCCCCGCCCCGCCTCGCCCCTTATGTTGTGTATGGGGTGATAGGGGTGGGGATGATGGGCAGCAGATAATACCCACCTCCCTACCAATTTGAGCTGCCTTAACACACACACACACACACACACACACACACACACACACTGTATCTAATATATTTGGTGTTCTAAAATATTCCTCTTTGTTTATTTACAGATGCGGTTGTCGGCGGTGGTGACGTAACGACCATTAGCCAATGACCGAGTGTGATGTGTGACGTGATCCGTGACGTAATAAAAGTGACGTATCCGTGACGTAATCTCATGAAACATTGAAGAAAAAGAGGGGATTTGTGACCTCATAGATGACGTCTCAGTGAAAACGTTTGTTGATGTGTGTGACGTAACAATGACGCAGTGGGTGATGAGAGTGCTGGGAGGGTGAGGTACAGGTGGTGAGGTACAGGTGGAGGGGTGAGGTACAGGTGAGGGGTGAGGTACAGGTGAGGTACTACAAGGAGGATCACTGGTCACCATCGCCTATTGGTGCTCACTCGAGGATAGTGATGAAGGAAATGATGGTGAGATGGTGATGGTGATGAAGATGACTCACACACCGCTATAGTGCAGGTGAGTGAACATGTGTAGGTCTAGATAGATAGATTGATAGATAAATAGATACTTTCTGATAGATTGATAGATAAATAGATACTTTCTGATAGATTGATAGATAAATAGATACTTTCTGATAGATTGATAGATAAATAGATACTTTCTGATAGATTGATAGATAAATAGATACTTTCTGATAGATTGATAGATAAATAGATACTTTCTGATAGATTGATAGATAAATAGATACTTTCTGATAGATTGATAGATAAATAGATACTTTCTGATAGATTGATAGATAAATAGATACTTTCTGATAGATTGATAGATAAATAGATAGATGTAGATACTTGTAATAGATACGGTAGTTGTAAATTATTGATGGATAATATTACTAAACACACCCACACACCCACACACAACACTCCACCCACAACACTCCACCACAACACCCACAACACCCACAACACCCACCCATCCACAACACTACCCACACACTCCCCACAACACCCACTCCATCCACTCACTCCACCCATCCACCCACCCACCCACAACACCCACCCACAACATCCACCCACTCACCCACCCACCTTCACAACACCCACACCACCACCCACCCACAACACTCACTACACCTCATCCCACCAACACCCACCTAACCTAACCCCACCTCCTCCTACAGGGTCCAAGATGTCGTGGCTGGGCGGGGACGATCCTGGGGGCGGGTTCGGGTACGACTATCCATGGTGGGCGGCTGAAGAAGGACTCGGTGGACGAACTAACAGGACGTGGGAGGAGAGGTGTAGGACCCTTGACTACGACTACCACATCGTCACCGCCGTCATCTGTGCCATGTTCCTCGTCTTCGGCGTTGTGTACAGCTTGTTTGGTGAGTGCTGGGGGGTGATGGTAGAGGGGGGTGTGGGGTGATGGTAGAGGGGGGGTGATGGTAGAGGGGTGATGGTAGGCATGTAGACCCTTCTCTCTACATGTAATAACTTGTGGATTTTAAGTTATAATCACTTTTACTGGCTGTTAGTTAGGTGTGGTAAAGGAAAGGAAGGGGGGGAGGGGGGGTGATGGGGAAGGAAGGTTTGCGAGATAGAGGAGAGATGGAGGGAGAGATGGAGGAGGGAGGGAGAGATGGAAGGTGGAGACAATGAGGAGTGAGGGATGGGTGGAGGGGTATTTAAGGTCCGTCCATCAAACTCCTGGGTCAACACCGTGGACCTGCCCTTATAAGACCTGCCTCAACACCTGCTTCCTCCTCCTGTGTGTGGTAGTGACCTAGCCCTGTATTGCTCTCTTCAGGAACCACACCAACCCTACCATGCCCTTAGGGAGCTCCTGTAGTTTGTTGGTACCTCTGTCGCCCTAGTTCAGGGTACATCTGCCCTGATAGCCCTGTGAGGCTCCTCCGTCATCTCATGGACTAGGGCGCGGCCAGGGACTGTCAACCTGTCAAGGAGTACTGAAGCCCTTACTGTGTGTGTGTGTGTGTGTGTGTGTGTGTGTGTGTGTGTGTGTGTGTGTGTGTGTGTGTGTGTGTGTGTGTGTGTGTGTGTTTAAACCACCTTGGGCTGTTAAGCTGGGCAAAGAGGAAGGAGAGAGGATGTTTTAAAGTTGAATAGGGTGTCTGGCTAGAGAGAGAGAGAGAGAGAGAGAGAGAGAGAGAGAGAGAGAGAGTGTTAAAGGTGTTAAGACGGGAGCCAGGTCATCCGGCACCCCACTGAGCTCTAACAAACTCACAAAAGCTACTCTTAGAATGGCACTGAGACAACTGAGAGAGAGACGATGGCACTGAGACAACTGAGAGAGAGAGAGAGAGAGACAATGTATTCTGTGAGACAACTGAGAGAGAGACGATGGCACTGTGAGACAACTGAGAGAGAGATACAACACCTGCATATATTACACCGAACGTACAGTCCGTCTCTGTATTTCATGCTAATTACTACTGTACCTGTACTTTATACCTTAATTATGAATACTCAGATAAGATATCTCTCTCTCTCTCTCTCTCTTCTTTGGAATACAGTAACGATCCATAACAAGAGAGAGAGAGAGAGTGGAGAGGGAAGTAAGGAAGGGGTAAGGAGAGAAGGTGAGGAAGGAGGGGAGAGAAGGGGAGGAAGGAAGGAGGAAGGGGGGGAGAGAAGGGGAGAAAGGAGGGTATGTCAGAATGTCAGTCAGTTAAGGCTTGTTCAATCGTCATCAGTCATTTAAATTGTCTGATGATAGAGGCTGATGTGGGCGTGGGGTATAAGGGGCGTGTTAGGTGATAGGGGGCGTGTGGGGTGATGGAGGCGTGTGTGGCAGGGTGAAGGGTAAGTGGCGTGGGGTAGGGAAGGTGAGGGGAACAAGAGTTAATTCAAACTTACCTCACTAATTACATAAAATTACATGTAATATTCCTACACACCTGAACAGAGCAGTTAATACCTGTAATAGTCTCTGTACTCCTCATTAAGGTGTTCACAGGTACACCTACTACCTGTAACAAGGTGAGATGGTCGTGTAATTGGAGTACCTGTGTAATTGTTGTTTTCTCTGATACGTTGTGTGTCTTTGTGATACATACATACATACATACATACATATACACATACATACATATACATACATACATAGATTATTTTTCTCCTCAGTACCTACCACCTGTGTCAGCCATGACACCCCTACCACCAGTGTCAGCCAGTTATGACACCCTACCACCTGTGTCAGCCAGTTATGACACCCCTACCACCTGTTGTCAGCCAGTTATGACACCCCTACCACCATTGTCAGCTAGTTATGACACCCCTACACCAGTGTCAGCCAGTTATGACACTCCCTACCACCAGTGTCAGCCAGGACCCTACCACCAGTGTCAGCCAGTTATGACACCTCTACCACCAGTGTCAGCCAGTTATGACACCCTACCACCCAGTGTCAGCCAGTTATGACACCCCTACCACCAGTGTAAGCTAGTTATGACACCCCTACCACCAGTGTCAGCCAGCTATGACACCCTACCACCAGTGTCAGCCAGTTATGACACCCCTACCACCAGTGTCAGCCAGTTATGACACCCCTACCACCAGTGTGGGCTAGTTATGACACCCCTACCACCAGTGTCAGCCAGTTATGACACCCCTACCACCAGTGTCAGCCAGTTATGACACCCCTACCACCAGTGTCAGCCAGTTATGACACCCCTACCACCAGTGTCAGCCAGTTATGACACCCCTACCACCAGTGTAAGTTAGTTATGACACCCCTACCACCAGTGTCAGCCAGTTAGACACCTCACCACCAGTGTCAGCCAGTTATGACACTCCCTACCACCAGTGTCAGCCAGTTATGACACCCTCTACCACCAGTGTCAGCCAGTTATGACACCCCTACCACCAGTGTCAGCCAGTTATGACACCCCTACCACCAGTGTCAGCCAGTTATGACACCCCTACCACCAGTGTCAGCCAATTAGACACCTACCACCAGTGTCAGCCAGTTATGACACCCTACCACCAGTGTCAGCCAGTTATGACACCCCTACCACCAGTGTCAGCCAGTTATGATTCCCTACACCAGTGTCGTTTGCACCCCACACCAGTGTAAGCTAGTTATGACACTCCCTACCACCAGTGTCAGCCAGCTATGACACCCCTACCACCAGTGTCAGCCAGTTATGACACCCCTACCACCAGTGTCAGCCAGTTAGACACCCTACCACCAGTGGTCAGTTGATGTACACCTACCACCAGTGTAAGCTAGTTATGACACCCTACCACCAGTGTCAGCCAGTTATGACACCCTACCACCAGTGTCAGCCAGTTATGACACCCCTACCACCAGTGTCAGCCAGTTATGACACCTCTACCACCATTGTCAGCCAGTTATGATACTACTACCACCAGTGTCAGCCAGTTATGACACCCCTACCACCAGTGTCAGCCAGTTATGACACCCCTACCACCAGTGTCAGCCAGTTATGACACCCTACCACCGTTGTCGCCAGTTATGACACCCCTGCCACCAGTGTCAGCTAGTTATGACACCCCTACCACCATTGTCAGCCAGTTATGACACCCCACCACCATTGTCAGCCAGTTATGACACCCCTACCACCATTGTCAGCCAGTTATGACACCCCCACCACCAGTGTCAGCCAGTTATGACACCCCTACCACCATTGTCAGCCAGTTATGACACCCCTACCACCAGTGTCAGCCAGTTGACACCCCCTACCACCAGTGTCAGCCAGTTATGACACCCTACCACCATTGTCAGCCAGTTATGACACCCCTACCACCAGTGTCAGCCAGTTATGACACCCCTACCACCAGTGTCAGCCAGTTGTGACACCCCTACCACCAGTGTCAGCTGAGAGACACCCTACCACCAGTGTCAGCCAGCTATGACACCCCTACCACCAGTGTCAGCCAGTTATTGACCCCTACCACCAGTGTCAGCTAGTTATGACACCCCTACCACCAGTGTCAGCCAGTTATGACACCCCTACCAAGTGTCAGCTAGCTTGACACCCTACCACCAGTGTCAAGGAGTTATGACACCCCTACCACCAGTGTCAGCGAGTTATGACACCCCTACCACCAGTGTCAGCCAGTTATGACACCCCTACCACCAGTGTCAGCCAGCTATGACACCCAATGCTTCTCCTGTGTCAGCAACTTGGTCGTTTCATATCCCACCACAGCTAATAAAGTCTCCCACACTGTCGTTAGCTGCGGGGAGACGTTAGCTCTTCTTAAAGCTACATCATTCTTAGCTGTGGTCAGGAGGTAACTGGTGGTAGAGGAAGAAGAGAAGGAGGAAGAAGAGGAAGAGGATGAAAAGGAGGAGGAAGAGGAAAAGAGAAGGAGGAAGAAGAGGAAGAGGATGAAAAGGAGGAGGAAGAGGAAAAGAGAAGGAGGAAGAAGAGGAAGAGGATGAAAAGGAGGAGGAGGAGGGAGGAGAAGTGAAGGAGGAAGAAGAGGAAGAGGATGAAAAGGAGGAGGAGGAGGAAGGTGAAGAAGAAGAGGAGGTAGGATAGTAAACATGGTAAAAGACGAGCCCAACAGACGGGCATCTAGGGGGGGTCTGAGAAACAAACACACACAAACAAACACACCAACACACACACACACAAACAAACACACACAAACACACACAAACAAACACCGAAGGAACCAGGTCATGTAAAACTTGTGACCTAGTTCCTTCTGCCGCTCCTCCCACGGGTCCTCCTGCTGGTGGTGGTGGTGGTGGTAGTGGTCATGACTGTGTGGCTGACTGGCTGAAGGAAAGTACCGTGGGTGAGGATGTCTTAAGCCATACCGAGAGAGAGAGAGAGAGAGAGAGAGAGAGAGAGAGAGAGATGAGATATTCTGGGATGTGGTCTCTCGTGTGTGTGTGTGTGTCTCTCGTTGCCATGATTATACACCCTAGGCTGAGACCATCTTGTGTATTGCAGATAACATGGTATTTATTGTTGGCCACACCACACCACACCACACCACACCACACCACACCACACCACACCACACCTCCGTTCGTCCATCCTTCCGTCACCACCCACCCACCCAGACAATGACCTCGGCTCTAGACCAGGTTAAGACCACAGCACCTTTAGGACCAGTTTGTTATCACGTGAGACCGAACAAGACCACAGCTCAGATAAGACCTACTAAGTCTTACCACCGTGTGTGTGGGGGGGAAGGTGGCATCTTTTAAGGTACAGACCAGGTTCTCCTCCTACTCCTCTTCCTGCTCTTCCTCTTCCTCCTGCTCTTCCCCTTGCTCTTCCTCCTCCTCCTCCTCTCTTCGAACACCACCAACAAAGGCTCGAGTCAGTTCGCCTGGCGCAGGAAAGTCGGTCGGTCAGGCTGGATCAATACCAACAAACATAGAAAACGCGGCTGCCACCACCCATCCCCTGCCACCACCCATCCTGCCCTCCCACCACCCATCCCTGCCCCCTCCCACCACCCATCCCTGCCCCTCCCACACCACCCATCCCTGCCCCTCCCACCACCCATCCCTGCCCTCCCACCACCCATCCTCCTGCCCCTCCCACCACCCATCCTTCCTGCCACCATTCCATCCTGCCCTCCACCACCCATCTCGCCTCCCACCACCCATCCCTGCCCCCTCCCACCACCCATCCCTGCTCCCTCCCACCACCCATCCCTGCCCCCTCCCACCACCCATCCCCTGCCCCCCTCCCACCACCCATCTCCTGCCCTCCCACCACCCAGTCCCCTGCCCCTCCCACCACCCATCCCTGCCCCCTCCCACCACCCATCCCTGTCCCTCCCACCACTCCATCCTGCCCCTCCCACCACCCATCCCTGCCCTCCCACCACCCATCCCTGCCCTCCACCACCCATCCCTGCTCCCCTCCCACCACCCATCCCTGCCCCCTCCCACCACCCATCCTGTCTCCCCCTCCTTCCACCCCTGCCCCCGTCTCTCCCTGCCCCCCTGCCCTCTCCCTGCCCCCCCCTGCCCTCTCTCCTGCCCCCCCCTGCCTCTGTCTCTGCACCACCGCTGAGCTTAAAACACCTTTATTTAAAAAATAATCCCCATCATGTTGGTGTTGTGTCTCGCCATCACCAGAAACTTGGTGTATCTGTCTGTCTGAAACATGTGTTAAGGCTACATTCATTAGTCTGCCAACGTGAGCAGACTTAAGACATATTGTCTGCTGTACAGAGACACATTGTCTTCTGTACAAAAACACACGGTGTGTGTCATATAATGGACACACCCGTGGGAGTTAGTGTGTGTGTCAACACAGATTGCTCCAGGGACACTTAGGATGGGGAACGAGCGATGTATCCACTTGTCCACCACACACACCAGAAAAAAAAAGTAATAAAAATAATTTCTAAAAAGTAAATACTGTAAAAGTTTTTCTGTGTAAATATAAACGTGATACGGTAAGTATTGTGGTCACTCCAGAAGGTCACGGGAAAGGTCATAACATAGACTGGTTGAGTGTGATGGTTACCAACATCATCCAAGCTGATCATAACACAGTGAGGTCTTGTTGTGGTGTGTGTGTGTGGAGAGTCAGAGAGAAAGACGGTCAGAGATGTTTGGCGTTTTTATAAGATGACACACACACACACACACACACACACACACACACACACACACACACACACACACACAGGTAATATTAAGATGCATAACAGTATAGGTGTTAGTGAAGACCTCGACAGCGGGCACAACCACCCGATTATTGTACACATTATATAAAGAGGGGGAGGGTGTGGGTGAAGGTCGGAGGGTGGTCTCTCTTTCTGTCTCTCTCGCTGTTTCTCTGTGTGTCTGCCTGTCTCTACATGTCTCTTTGTCTCTCTTTGTGTGTTTCTCTCAGTCTCTCTCTTATCAGCAGACCCTAAACACCTTGTATCTCCCACACACACACTTTATTGATTCAAGGGTGGCGAGGTCATACTACTGAGGGTGGCGAGGTCATAATACTGAGGGTGGCGAGGTCATACTACTGAGGGTGGCGAGGTCATAATACTGAGGGTGGCGAGGTCATACTACTATGGGTGGTGACGTCATACTACTAAGGGTGGTGACGTCATACTACTAAGGGTGGTGTGGTGATGTCATAAAATCGAGGGTGGTGACGTGAGATTACCAAGGGTAGTGACGTCATAATGCCAAGGCCACTGTAGACCAGTTGTATCGTGAACCAACAAGTACGAGCTATTGAGACTGATGGACTGTATGATACTGAAATAAAAACTGTCTATGTACACTGTGTATTACCTGTCTGTTCTTGGCCTAAATACTGTCTAGTTGGTATACATTGTGCATAGACAGTGCAGGTATACAAACATTGTGCATAGACAGTGCAGGTATACACACAATGTTTGTAAAAAATTCAGGTATACAAACAATATACATAAACAGTTCAGGTATATAAACAAGAGTAAACAGTAATTCGGGTGTAAATATGGTGTATAAATCTTGGATCCTTCTTTGTATACTGCACTGTACAGGTTGAGTACAAAAAGTGTATGGTAACATGTACAGTCTCTCCTCGACTTACGATGGGAGGTTCCGTCCTGACGACCAGGTCGCAAGTCGAATTGGTCGTAAGTCGAAAAGGCGAAAATAATACATAGAAATTCTAAAATGGGTGTCTCTTTTACTTCTCAGCACCACGAGAACTCTCACTTTTATGCTTGCCAGCCATTTTAAAGGGAATTACAAACGAAAATTTTGTCAGAACACAGCGCAATCACTAACGTCCGGACTCGAAAATACGTACTGTAATGTGAAAAATATTTTATACGACCATGGCCGTCGTATGTCCTAGTTGTCGTAAGTCGAATATGTCGTAAATCAAGGAGAGACTGTACTGTGCTGCACTGTACTGTACTGTACTGTACTGTACTGTACTGTACTGTACTGCACTGCACTGTACTGTACTGTACTGTACTGTACTGTACTGTACTGTACTGAACTGTACAGGTGGAGGACAAAAAGTGTCTGGTTATACTGTACTGTACTCTACTCTACTGTATTACCTGTGTGTAAAATATAATGTAAACAAAACACTCACCAGTGGAGTACCTGTACTTTATACCTAAATCTTTACCTACATTGATACAGTATTTCTGACCTGAATTATGTATTTGAGTATGATTGTGTACCTGTAAAGTTCATCTTGTTTCATGTACAGTCGTCTGCACATACACCTGTACCTTTTATAGAACTCTACTAAAGATATTTAGATCTCCGCTGGTAGTGTCGTGTGTGGACTGATAACATATCTTCCAGTTGATTGCTGTTTAGTTGTAAATACAATTACTGTATTGTACCTGTATGTTTATACATTTAATAAGTTATAGTTTAGATTTTATTTATGTATAGCACCATAATTTTCTTCTTTTAATTTGTACTGTACAAGACTGGTAATATTTATGTTGTTAATGCTTGTGTTGTGTTGCAGGTTACCGGTGCTTCAAGGCCGTCATGTTCCTCACTGGGTTCATCTTTGCATCTGTGGTGGTGTACCTGATATGTCTGAGTGAGGACCTGCTGCCCCTGGTGGGTAACGCGGGCGTGGCCCTTGGGGCGGGCGTCATGTTTGGGCTCATCACCATGCTGGTGCAGTACGTGGGTCTCTTCATGACGGGGCTACACACTGGACTCTTTCTCGGTGTGGCCGGCATCGCCATCGGTTATAACTGGTAGGTGTTTGTAAGCCCTAATGGCGCAACACAACCACTACCACTCCTACCCCTAATGTAACCATCTAAGTGGGTTGGGAAAAAGGCATAAAACAAACAGTCATTCAGATAAGAATTGTCCAAGTGAGTACAGTACAGTTCAGTATAGTATAGTAAACACTGTAGTATAGTAAAGTATAGTATAGCATAGTGTAAACAATGTCACTGTGTTAAGTTTCCTCTTGTAATGTGAATTTAATATCTATACTGTAACTGTAGTTAACATTCATATACTGTACTGTACTGAAATAGAAAATCTTTCCAAGTACGTACAATGAAGTTGAAATAGTTTTACATACTTGTAACATCAAGTAACTTAAGTGTTTGGCAAGGTGATGGTATCTTGGTGCATATTATATATTAAAATGAACACTTGGTGTTTAATAGGTGTATATCTTCAGTATACAGCTGTGAAGAGTGGTTGAGCATTGCTGGACCCTACTGGAAATAAGCATCAAATCGCTTTACAGTACAGTACTTGCTATCCTGGGTCAAATTACCTTTCTATTTACCTCTGTGCCTTATATCTGCAGTGTCTAGGTACATTGTTTGTATATCTGCACTGTCTGGGTACATTAGAAATTGTAAACTGTCTATTATGCAAACTGAATTGTACACCTACATTGTCTGTAAACATGCTGAACCAACTTTAAATTTGTATGATGGTATTACTGAATAAATAAATACTGTATACTATCTATAACTACCTATCTATCTATCAAGTAGTCAGTCAATATCTCTCTCTCTCTCTCTCTCTCTCTCTCTCTCTCTCTCTCAATCAGTGTTTTAAGTAAGTACAGAAGAAGAGATAATTTTCTAACCTTTTAATAACTGGTACTGTGGCCATGTCTAGGTGGGTACCCAGTAGCGTGTGGCCGGTGGTGGGGATCCTACTGGCCGCGGGATTGTTGTTGGCCATTCTGACGCTGTACTTCCAGAAGGGGCTGACCATCCTCGGTACAGCCATCAGCGGAGGAGCCATCATGTCCGCCACCCTCGACTATTTCATCGAGAAGGTATTTTTTTTCCCTGTCTGGATGTAGTTATGTAGTTTTGTCGGTCTGTTAAAGAGGTTGAAAATACATCTATTTAACTGTATATTATTGAAACCTACAGTATTAAGTTAGCTGTATATTTTTAGATCCGTCCAATTGTACCCGTTTTTCTTAAATCTGTCACGTTATAGATGTACGGTATTGAATTTGTCAGATTATAGGGGTACAGATTATTGCAATACTGTATTTCTTAATATAGCCCTGTACTGTACTGTAATATATGATAGTAGCTGTACCACCACTGTGACAACATGTCCCTCCACCCCACAGTTCTTGATGGTACACTGGTTCGAAGACCGATTGAAGGCGGTGGAAAGTGAACGTCCGTGTTGGTTCTCGTGGATGATCCTCGGTGTGTGGCCGTTCATGGTGGTGGTGGGCAGCCTGACACAGTGGAGGATCACGGGGAGAGGCATTTATCATCAACAGTGTAAGAGAAATTATTTAATCTTTGGTTTTCAGTAGATTTTGTAAGTTTGTTTTGTGATTTAAAAACATATGTACTGGTATATTATAAAAAAACACCACTCGTCTTTCTTGATCTGCATGTGGCAAGGCAGTTGGTGTTGTGAGTGTCAAATGTCTCGATATTCTACTCCTTAAAGCATTTCAGTTTGGAGTAATATAAATTGTATTGTAGGTGTTCTTTTGCATGTCTAAATAATGTGTGATAACGAGCGCTAAAACGTAGTCGTTGTGCAGTGCGTTTAAAGTGCTGCTGCACCAAAAATTTCATCTGTCCATCCAAGCCTGTCACCACTGATGAGAATTATAGATAACAAAAAAGTTAACTATTATGCCACTAGTAAGTTCCTTAAGCTCAGAATTGTGGGTATATTATCTTTGTTCTTCCAGTGGTGCCCTCCAAAAAGTCTCGAAGTGTGAACCTCCAGCGAATGCGGAGTCGAGAGGCCAGGGCTGAGATGCGCCAGAAGAAATACCGGTATTTGTATCAAGTTCGTACTGCTCACGGGGACATCATCAGCCAGGTGAATATGCCAGTGTCCGATCTCAGATATACCACTGTTAGCGAGGCTTAGCAGTGTCTGTCTGGCGGATTCGCGGTGGTGGGACTAACTGGTGGTTGTGCCGTCTTTGCGAGTGTTCAGGTATGCACTGTCGTTCGTCTTGTTTACGTCCTGTTCACTGCCTTCTGCCTCCTCCAGTCTATGTCAACTTCTTGATGAGGTACAGGCCATCTTCCTTCGGCATTTGTGTGAGTTTAAAAAAAAAGAAATATGCTCTTGGATGTGCTGAAAGATTCCCACCATGACACTTCTTACTCCTTCCTGTCTATGCTCCTCACTGTCTTTCCCATCAACTCTTCTGTTAATAATTTATGCTCCTCTGTTAATATTTTATGCTCTTCAGTATCTTTCCCATCAGCTCCTGTGTTAATATTTTATGCTCCTTACTGTCTTTCTCATCAACCCTTTTATTAATATTTTATGCTCCTCTCTATCTTTCCCATCAGCTCTTCTATTAATATTTTATGCTCCTTTTTATCTTTCCCATCAGTTCCTGTGTTAATAATTTATGCTCCTCTTTATCTTTCTCATCAGCTCCTCTGTTAATAATTTATGCTCCTCTTTATCTTTCTCATCAGCTCCTCTGTTAATAATTTATGCTCCTCTTTATCTTTCTCATCATCTCCTCTATTAATAATTTATGCTCCTGTTTATCTTTCCCATCAGCTCCTCTATTCATAATTTATGCTCCTCTTTATCTTTCCCATCAGCTCCTCTATTCATAATTTATGCTCCTCTTTATCTTTCCCATCAGCTCCTCTATTAATAATTTATGCTCCTCTTTATCTTTCCCATCAGCTCCTCTGTTAATAATTTATGCTCCTCCTATCTTTCCCATCAGCTCCTCTGTTAATATTTCCTTTATATTAACTTAATAGAAGCTAAGTGTCCAGAACCATTTTTTATCATTTAGTTCCATCAAAGCCAAAATATTGTGTAGAGCATTGTGTTAAAGTGAAGTGTATGCACCATGTGTCGTCTCTGTGTACCGGAGGTGTCAACAAGTGTGTGCACCATGTGTCGTCTCTGTGTACTGGAGGTGTCAACAAGTGTGTGCACCATGTGTCGTCTCTGTGTACTGGAGGTGTCAACAAGTGTGTGCACCATGTGTCGTCTCTGTGTACTGGAGGTGTCAACAAGTGTATGCACCATGTGTCGTCTCTGTGTACTGGAGGTGTCAACAAGTGTGTGCACCATGTGTCGCCTCTGTGTACTGGAGTGTCAACAAGTGTGTGCACCATGTGTCGCCTCTGTGCACTGGAGTGTCAACAAGTGTGTGCACCATGTGTCGCCTCTGTGTACCGGAGGTGTCAACAAGTGTGTGCACCATGTGTCGTCTCTGTGTACTGGAGGTGTCAACGCTGGCTTTTGTTCTTAGTCCACTGTGTCGCCTTTCTGTGTCATTTATTATACAGTAATATACTGTATGATGATTGATATGTTCTGAGACACTTAATATGTTCTGAGACACTTAGCTACTTGGTGAAGATGGATTATCTTGAACACTGTCCCACTTGTTTCTGTGCTACTTGTGTGTAATCTCCTCTGGATAAAGAGTGATAGTGACTAAAGTAAGCAAATACTACTAATAGTGTGTGTGTGTGTGTGTGTGTGTGTGTGTGTGTGTGTGTGTGTGTGTGTGTGTGTGTGTGTGTGTGTGTGTCGCTCTTGTCTTCTCTCTCTCCCTCTCTCCCTCTCTCTCTCTCTCTCTCTCTCTTTCTCTCTTTCTCTTTCTTTTCCCCTTAATGCTTCAGTAGTTCTCCTTAATTTCCACACAGTTATACAGGGCGTCTCAAAAAAATGAATACACACTGTGTAACAGATTTTTGCAGCAAGTGTGTGTATGCTTGTACAGTACTGTACTGTATTATAACACTATCAACAACATTATCCCCACTTGTAGGAGACTTCGTATATCTACAAGTGAGGACAATGTTGCTGTTGTATTACAATTATTTATGCTATTGCCAGAAAAATCCAAAAGGCAGTGTGTGTGTGTAAAAAGATTTTTAAGACACCCTGTATGTCTTGACAAGAGCAAGTAAGTGGCATCTGCTTCTTTTTAACCAAACCAAAAGTGCCAACTGTTGTGGCATTTTGAGGGAGGTCGTTGTTGTGTTGAGCGTCAGTGATACGATTTTACTTTTTTATCTTGTAAGGAAGTGATAAACGCTGAACATGCTGTAAGAACAGTGAGATATTATGGTGAAGACTTGCTGGAGGATTTTGTAAAATAGTTAGCATTCCCAGTACTGTATTTGATCCTTTTTGATATACAACCAGCTTGTACAGGGTGCTTCATAGGTTGCACACATGTACAGGGCATCATAGGTTATGTACATGTACAGGGTGTCGCATGGGTCGCACATATGTACAAGCTTTGTCTCGTAGGTCACACACCATAGGAAACTTTAAATTTTTCCCTTTTTTCTTCTTCAGGTGAGTGAAGATAGCAGACATTGTTAGAGGAAAGAGTTAATTTAATATATATGTATGGAAAACCACAAAAGAGTTATGTCAACAACACCCAGGCATATGGTGGTTGTCAGTTAAATTATCATGCAACCGGTCAGTGTGTAGCATCTGCCTTTTCCTACATGAATATTAAATTGACTTTTTCCTCTTGTGTTTATCTGCCATTTTCTCTGATTTGTTATGATTCCTTCACCTGAAGAAGAAAAAAGGGAAGAATATTAAGTTTCCTATGGTGTGTGACCTATGAGACACCTTATAAATGTGCATGACCAATGAAACACCCTGTACATGTGCATGACCTACAAAACACCCTGTACATGTGTGCAACCTGTGAAGCACTCTGTACATTATTATTATTATCAATGACAATTTTTCTTCACCTATATATCTCCCTGTCCCAGAATTACTCACTGTACCCTGTTTAATGCGTCCTTACTCGAGAAAAACAAAATAACCTGTATTTGTGCTCTCCGCTACAATGCCTTCCTTTAAACCAAAACCACAAATTCTTCTGGAAATGTACTCAGCTCTTGGAGTTTTGATGACCAAGAACCAAAACATTTCGAGGAAGATTTCGCAAGTGCCACCTTGTTGTATACGTGGGACAAGACATTACTCAGTACACCTTTTACCCCAGAGGAAAAAATAGCTGTTTTTTTTTCTCATGATAAATGTTTAAAATCAGGGAGATCATTTGTATTCATCCGGTACAGTACTATATTGTAATGTGATACTGTAGTTAAATCAGAAATACAAATATTTATCTGTTGGTATCAGAAATACAGGTACAATATTTTACTACACTTCTTATCAAATGTCTAAATATTTGATTACTTTTGTTATCTAATGTCTGAATATATTGCTACTTTTATTATCCAATGCCTGAATATATTGCTACTTTTGTTACCAAAGAAGTGGACATCATATTACAGTATTGTACTGTACTGTTAAGAGCAACATACTGTACACAGTTACGGTATCTCACCAACTGAACCTTCATCAAAACAGAAATAATTTGGCCTTTTAAGTCAACATAATCTTCCTCTGTAAGAAAGAAAACTGTCTATCTGTCTATCTACATCCAACAAGCTGTCTACCAGTGTGCAGGAGGGTGGCCTAAATCTAAACATCTCCTTAGTTCAAACTATGCCAGAGTTACTTTACTTCTTTATCAGAGAACTAACTTGTATCTTGGTGGTGGTTCCTTGACAACATCCTACACCCCCCTTCCCTCCATCATTGCTGGTGGTGGCTCCTTGACAACATCCTTCACCCCCCTTCCCTCCATCATCCCTGGACCTTTAAAAAAAATGCTACTTTTTAAACTTGTTTCTCTTGTACAGTAGTCATATGTGTGTTTTAAGAAAGCTTTTATCTTTTAATAGTGTGATGTGATATTTTTTTCCCTTTTGAGTTTTTATTAGAGTACAGTATCTTTCATTTAGTTGACTCTGAAAGTTTCCTTTTTTCTTGATGTTAAGTGTTATATTATTTACAGGTTTTATTTAAGTGTTGCGTTGCTTCCTACAAGTTTATTTAAGTGTTGCGTTGCTTCCTACAAGTTTTATTTAAGTGTTGCGTTGCTTCCTACAAGTTTTATTAAAGTGTTGCGTTGCTTCCTACAAGCCTTATTTAAGTGTTGCGTTGCTTCCTACAAGCCTTATTTAAGTGTTGCGTTGCTTACTACAAGTTTATTTAGAGGGAATCTCAAGCTGTAATCAAGATATCGATGTGTGATGTCAATAATTTAAGAGAATTTATAAAACAAGGTAAGGTAACACTTCTTATTTTCTTTACTTTTGGTCTTGTTACGAGTTTTGACGATGTTAGTTGGTTACGGGTCAGTAGTAGTTCTGAGCAGTCGAGCTTTTTAGCGGTAGATGTGCAAATTCATCTTTAGATTTCTCTAGATTATTTCTCAGTCTTGCTGTATTTAATGACAAAATGGAATTAATATAATCAATATACTGTATATATATATATATATATTATATATATATATATATATATATATATATATATATATATATATATATATATATATATATATATATATATATATATATATATATATATATATATATATATATATATATATATATATATATATATATATATATATATATATATACTGTATCAGTAGAGTACAGTAGATGTGAAAGGCAGCAGCTAAATAAACGAATACTACTGTGCAGGAAATATTTTTAAAAATGTGTTTATATGAATATAAATGGAAAAAGCTGTACTGTATAACTATTAACATATTTGTTTATTTTATCTCTGTTATCATTGTCTTGTAATTAGTTTTGATCAACACAGTTTTTTAGTTCACCATATCTAAGTGACTTTTTTGAAGTGTTGATTTCCATTTTTGAACTGATCATCTTGATAAAGGAAGCTTTCATAGTTCAGTTAATATTAAACAAAGCAAAGATTGTTCCAGATACCAAATCTTTAGTAGAGTTGAATAATGTAATACATGCCGTTTTTGTGCCTTATTCTACAGGAATATATTCAGAGTCTTCAGCGTAAGGCTTATCCGACTGGTGACAACGGAACTCTCCAGTCAGACTCCACCCACACCACCATGCTACCCCCAGAGCAGACACAATTGGCGCCACTCACCGAGAGTGAAGACGAGACGGGGGGGTCTCAGCCGCCTCCGACCCCTCCCGAGCCCCCGAGACTCACGCGGGTCACTATGCATTAGCCCGTGATCTGAAAATTTGCATTGTAAGATTTTTTAGACGAAGAAGAACTACCAGTCAGTAATGTTGCTAAGATCCAAGATTTTAGCCAAATTTTAGTGACAGAAATGTTCCTCACTCTTATGTACAGAATGTAAGCCATGGTACTTTCTACATACATTAAAGCATGTACGGTATATCTGTTCAGAGAAAATACTAATAAACAATTGTATAATCCTGAACTATAATTGTGATACTATATAGCAAGTGTGTGTGTGTGTGTGTGTTCCAGTTTCCAGAGTAGTTTTGTCTTCACCTGCCCGCTGGAGCAGTGCTTGGCTGTAGTTAGCAGGCAACTTATGTGTACCTCCTGTTGTATGACTTAAGTCTTAGCTTAAAGTCTTTCAACACATACTGGATGGTCTGGAGTGAATGAAGCTGTGACCATTATTTCAAGTTCTCTCCAGTACAGAGAATTTATTCATTTATCAGTACAGTGGGCCATGTGTTGTGTTTACACCCTGTATTAGTTTTATTGCAGCTAGTCTTGTGATTCTGAGAGGAGTTGGCAGATGATGATACAGTACAGTATATTGATATTTGTAGAACCTGTGAATAATTTGCTAGCAGCAGGTTATGACTGATGGTACTGGTGATATTTTAAACCTGAAAATAATAACTACTGTGGAAATAATTCTCTTAACCCCCTGTCCCTATTTATATAAAGTGATTTTTAGAAAATACTGGGCAGCGGGTGAAACTGTGACAGTTGAGCATTGGTGCTCAATTGTGGTTGTCATCCGGTGCATGTCCAATGAAAATCAAAGTAGACTTTTCAAGCATTCCAAGTTAAATTGTAAAGGAAGACCACAAAATGGTGATTCCACTTGTGAAATTTGATGTGTCCATCTTGCCTACCAAGTATGACTGACTCTACTCACCTCTATCTTGAACAAGAACTAGAATTAGCTCAAGTTGTTGTAAGTAGTGCTGACTGACTGAGAAGCTCAAATAGCCAGGAAGAATACAAATACACAGCACAATTATGCCATGTGTCTTTCTCTAATATGTAACAGGAATGTTGTTGATTGAATATTACTTTGCCCTCTACTTTGACAACAGGCATTATTTAAGGCTTTAAGCTGTCTTAGTTTAATTTTTAATCTTCCAGGCATGTCTGTCTATTATTCACTATATTAAGTTAGGAAGGGAACTTGTACATTACTCCCTCCCTCCCTCCCCTCCCAAGCAGGTACTGGGATTTGTTTAGTCATTTATCTTGTTGTTTCCTTATGTTTTCTTTTTCTTTTCATTTTTATACTTTCTTCCAAGTGTATATTTTAAGGATCATATTACCATAGGTTAACTTCTTGTGAACCTTCACTTATTTATAGTACTGTAATAATAAGCTTTCTTTATCACTGCCTGTCAACTAGTTGTCATCTCATCATGTGAAGTTCCTGGTCCCAACCACAATTCATATAACTTGTATACTGCAATCATAATTTTTTTTCACCATCTTTGTGTAGTCTTACTTTTATTATATTTAAAAAACTTAACCATTATCTCTGGTTAGTTGTACAGGAAGGCCAGAGTAACTTGTGCTGGTCTGGCATTTGTGAGAGTTGGACACTGAAGAGATGGCTGTCTCACCTCTTCATCCCCAGCCACCTGTTTGGTCACCAGAATGTGTATGATGTTTAAACCTAAGGATTTTGTAGTGATTAGGACAGGAATCTTCAGAGACCCTCATCAGGTAGTTGGTCATTGTAGTGACGATAATACACTGTATATGTGCATTAATGTGAGTGCTTCTACCATTATGTTTACTTTTAATACCATTTATAACAAGAATTTTATCTGGAATTATTTTGTTTGGATTGCTATAGACAGTACGTTTTCACAGGTTTGTTCCGGTAGTTGTAATCCTGTCATAGCTTAATCAAAGCTTATTTCCCTATTAGTTAGATAGAGATGATAAGCCCCATATAATTGGAACACACTTGTTATTTGGCAAATGGATTTAATGTTAAAAAAGTTTTTCAACTATTTTAACGGCAATATTAAGGAAATGTGGGAAAAATACTGTTGATAGCTATGAAGCATTATGCTTTTGAAGCTTATTTTTAATCAGTGATAAACTAATATTGAAATGAAATTTCATGTAGGTAAAATTTTTAAGGTTGCTGCAGACAAACTTCTATAAGAAGGGTGCGGTGAGCACGAACGACTGTGTTCTTCCTGCTTCAACATCGATCAGTGTGTGATAAATAAACTGTTCAAGTAAAGTTAGGAACTCTGCCCATCTTAACTATATCGTTCACTAATCTATATTTCACCTCATAATAAAGAGATGCTAATTCAGAAGTAAATTTTACTGCCAGTTTCAACAGTGTTGTGTATGTCATCACCTCAGAGTGACCTTACACCAACTCTCTGGTGGTGACACAACACAGTACTGGTGAGCCAACACGTAGCATCACGAGGTATGATTATAACTTTACAAGATTGAGACAGTTGGTCTTTACAAACTTAATTAGTAATTTGAGAAAAAAAATCACTACAAGGCTTAACAGTTCACCCTGACATCTGTTTTCAAACCATTGCTTTGATCATGTCTCAGTACGTGATAAGTTGTAAACATATTGTGACTCGTTTAGTTACTTCATAAGACATAGAATTGGCATCTCTAAAACATCTGTGAATGTTTAAAGTTTAGGAGTAACAACCTTTTTTATGTTTTAACAGTGGTTTACAGTTCAAGAAGGGCACAAGGGACTGGTCATGACATACCGGCACCGTCTGTTTGTCCGGTAACGTTGTCTCTTGAGTGTGGGCAAGTAGTAGTGTGTCTCCGACCTGCTTCTCTACGCTGTATCTGGGGTGTTACTTCACTGTCAGGACCCGGGCTTGTTAAGTACTTCACTCTTTCATCTTGTGACATACTACCCTCTTAGTCTTTTGCCAGTGACTGTTTGTACATCAACTTATGGACACAACTGTTACTCCTCAGGTCCTCAGTTTGCCACAGATGGACAGTTTATGTATAATGGTTTGTTTTGTTGTCAGTCTAAGGGTTCTTGTACATTTTCTCAATACAATACAATACCCTACAATGCAATAGACCAAATACAAGTAATCAACAATATTAGAGTTAAATTGTTTCCAGTCAAGTAGTTTTAACTTTCAATGAAAATTTTGGTGAGTGATGCACAGTACCATGGACCATGATGCACAGTACCATGGACCATGATGCACAGTACCATGGACCATGATGCACAGCACCATGGACCATGATGCACAGTACCATGGACCATGATGCACAGCACCATGGACCATGATGCACAGCCCGACTTAGTCCTTCAAGTGGAGAACACTTAGTGCTAATCTTTTTATATCCATATCTGACTATTATTAAGCTCAAAAATATCATGAACTTTGTATTGTTATTGTAACAGAAGTGAGTGCGAGTACATGTGACTAGATTATTATTATTATTACTGTACTTTGTAGCCATGATAATGCAGGATTATTTTGTCTCTAGTATTTATACCACTGCCATGAATTTGACAATATGCACAGACCAGTGCATTAGCCGTTTCGTTGACTCTACTTTTTATTTAACGACTGCTCCCAGCGAAACCAAAGATCAGTCCTTTCTCCTTGTGTACTGTGTGAAGACCTTCAGGTTCCTGCTGGTTGAGGACTTAAGCTAAGGAGGAAATTTTTTGAAAAACTAAAGATTGTCTTTTGGTGCTTTTTTTTTTTTAACCAATATTTAAACATATCCCGATGATTTCCAGTGATGTTTGTAAACATTTGTACATTGACCTTGTACTGAATTTCTGCGCATATACTCATACCCTGCAAAATGTCAGAGTAGTATTACTGAAACTTACACATCACCTATTTATGTTCTGTGTTCATCCGGAGCAGTTACGTAGTGCGCTGGAACCGTACAAAGAGGGTAAGGTTTACGACTGAGAGAACAGCAAAGTCCCCCAGATCCAAATTGATTGGAGGAAGTAATAGTGACTTAGGGAGAATTCTTTAGTTTGTTTCAGTAGCAATATGTGTCAATAATAGTCCACAGTGGGCAAGAGTCTTCGTGTTTGGCCGTGAGTTACAACCTCAGTAGCTAACATTAGGGTACGAGAGACTTGTGTAAATTCTCTGTATGAATAAGTATTAGTTAGTGACTCATCTTTTCATTTTCTTTCATTATGTTTCAAGTTTCATATTAAAAGTGTTATTGGAATCTTTTATACATTAAGTTTAAGAAACATGATTACGTACATAGTTAATAGTTTATTAGAAATTGCTATTTATATAAAACATAAATATTTAATTGTATATTTTCATTAATTTAGAAGATCCACTTTGTATGAGGCGTTTCCCTGCTCATCGGCCAAGACAACTATAGTGTTAGTGGTGCATCAAGATGGGTCACCTCCACGCCTCTGTACCCCCTCAAACGTTAACCTTATCTCTCCTTTTGAACAGTGACGTCCTGTGCCTGCCAGAAACTCTTAATCTGAAATGATTATTATCAAAATGCAGGAAGTGTTTCCATTAGCTAATTGTTTAAGGCCTCAAAGTCCGCCTCAAGAGTGATAGAACTGAATTATTTTGTAAATTATGTATGAGAGAGTTTGCTTGACCAGTAGATATGAAATGATCTATAGTTCAGCTGTTCTGTCTACCCTGAATGTTACTGTGGCAGTTTTTATGAAGTGAAATTTCTTCCACCTCCCCATTTTGATAAATATGTTGTGAACAGTAAGGATGATGAGGCCTTTGGCTTACCCAGATCCTTGTGTCAGCTTCATTAAGGATCCATTTCCTTGTTGACACACATTAATACATCTTCTGCCTGCTGCCTCCACTTAAAAGTATAATATACAGCAAGTGTTTGTAAAGGTTGACGTGGCTGACGCATTTCACTGCCTATTTATCAGTTTCGTCTAAGCCATCATAGGTCATGGAGAGCTTGGATGCTGTGAACATTGAGTAATGGCCCTGACTTTACAAACACCTGCTGGATCTTGCCTCGTTCTCATGTTCTTACGTCACTGTAAATATTAGCCATCACTCAGACTGCTCTTCTGATGTCACTAAGTATGAGTGAGAAGTTTATATAAGGAACACAGTTTTGTATAACTTGAGAAGTGTATGTACATTATGTAATCATTTCTTACAAGCTGATACGTGCAATTCTTCAGAAGCAGGTATTTGTACTGTACTGCATCCTGTGCTCTTTAAATAATAACAATGTTTTGAATTAAGATCTTTTTCTTTATTCCATTCTCATTTCATGTTTGTAAATTTCTCTTCTAATTTTTTTTTCAAACACACACACAGTATCAGAAAATTTCTGGTAAAGAATTGTGTTATACACACACACACACACACACACATACACACGCATACACACACACACACACACACCCACGCACGGAAGAAGTACCGGTATATAAACATACATACAGTATATCAATTCCCATTCATTTGTTGTCACTGATTCATTCTTACTCTTGTAAAAGAAGTTTTCTGCAATGAAGTTCCTATGCTACAACAAAACTTCAAGTCACTACAAAGTAAAAACCAAACTTCACAATATTGAGGGACACTCGGTAATAGGAGCAGGAGACATCATAAGACCAAAAACATCTTCAACTGGATGAGGCAAGAAAGTAACATCTTCCCTGCAGAGTGCCTGAGGACACCTGAGGTTCCACACAAGTAATGGAGAACTTGAGGACTACCTGGAAAATCCTCCTCACCAATGGACATATTAGAGGAGGTCAGGTCAGGTCCTTCTGGTTTCTGCCCAGTTTGTGTGATACAGTAGCATGTTTTTAAGTGAAATAAAAAAGTAAAAAAAAAAGTAAAATATATAATTCCATAGAGTAAAGTATATTTTGTTTTTATTTTTTGTCTATCTCGCTACGTATACAAATTAATGTGGAATTCCGTGCATGATCACTACCGAGTAATTACCGTAGCATCCCTGTAGTGAAGGGGTCAGTAGAGCTAGTTGTTGAAGAGCAGTAGTAACTTGTCAATGTGTCGTAACTTCCTTCTCTTACCATTTTTAGTGTTTGTTGTTAACTTGTGTCTCTTGTACACCTTGTTAATATTATTATGTCTTAAAGATATTTTCTATATGATCGACAAGCTATGATATATATGCTGTATATGACAAGTTATAAGTCTAATTCTACATTATTATTATTGTCAAGATATTGTATAGACTTAGTGTGTTTGAGAGGTTCTAGTGAGAAGTAGGGGTGGTTATAATTGTAAGTTAAGTGGTGGTAGTTGTTGTAGTAGTAAAGGTGGTGGTACTTCTAGTAGTTGTGGTACAGTATCAGCATAGTAGTAGTTGTGGTGATGGTAGTAGTTGCAGTGGTAGGTATGGTAGTAGTTGTAAAATTATGGTGGTGGTAGTAGCAGTAGCAGCAGTAGCAGCAGCAGTAGTAGTAGTAGTAGTAGTAGTAGTAGTAGTAGTAGTAGTGCTATCCGAACAGAAGCAGCAGCCCAGAAGTTATGTTACAGCCTGGATGAGATGTCAACTGTCCTTCTCTCTCCTTAGGTCTGCTTTGCTCTGCCTCAGGGGAATGAGAGCATCAGCAACAAAGCCGACAACAGTTGCAGATATTGACTATGAGGCAACAGTCACTGAATGCAGCTCAACTAACTCAACACAGCTAGGATAGCTACTTATGTATTAGGAAATTTATTTTAAGGTAATAAAATGGCAGTAGTAATACCAGCAGTAGTAGCAAGAAGCAATAGTTACAATAGTAATATATATATATATATACAGTTGTACCCCACTTAACGCGGTCAATTGAACCCACAGGGTACCGCGTTAAGTGAAAACCGCGTTAAGTGAACAACAGAACATATGGGATTAATTCCAATAGAGACTGGCCCGACCCCCAAACTCCACTTTTTGACGACACACAACTATGTTGTAGTAAAAATATTATCTTAACTTTATGATGGTATGCACACACAATTAATAATTAAGAGAAATATCAATAATATTAGGTTTTTTAACACTTACATTAGTAGAAAAGATGGCTGGGCACACGGGGATGGGGGGTTGGTTCCGAGGCAGAGGGCAGATTATTGGCCCTCACCTGTATCACTTGTATCAATTGTATCACTATCCACCACAGAGGCTTGCAGGGCCTCTTTGTCAAACCCCTCAAAGTCCATATAAGGCCATATCCTCACTATAATTATCACTATCACTGACTTGGGCCGGCTGTGGTGGGTGGCGGGTGAAGAACTCGGTAATGTTTTGATGACTGGGCGACCTTGTGCGCATCGTGCCCGCGCCGCTTCCTGCGTATATGAGTAGATGAACCGCGTTAAGTGAAAGTTCGGTTCTGGCGAGGCACCGCGTATACGAGAAATCGCGTTAAGTGAAACCGCGTTAAGCGGGGTACAACTGTATATATATGAATGAATGAAAACGTATCAGAACTATTTCTTGAAAAACACAATATTTGACGACAAATCCTGTATATTCTTAGTAGTGGTGGTAGTTGTGGTAGTAGGAGTAGTAGTAGTTGTGGTAGTAGGAGTAGTAGTAGTTGTGGTAGTAGGAGTAGTAGTAGTTGTGGTTGTAGTATGGTAGGCTCCCTGGCCAGTACTATTGGGTGCTATGTAGCCTGTGATCCAATCTGTATAGGAAGAGACTCGAGTATAGACACCAATACGACCACAGGATGAGAACCCATAACCTAGGCCAAAGCTGACTACCCCAGCCACTGTATGTTCACAAGTAGATCCGTGGCGAGGCACCTGTTCTGTGAGAGGTCCTCCACTGTCACCCTGTAGGAGAAGAGGACGAGGGAGGTGAGAGATGGTCAGATGGTCCCCAAGAAAGAGGAAGAAGGGTGATGTATAGTTCTGAGGAGATAGGAAGGAAGGGTGAAGGGGGTGGTGATCAACGGTACAAGCAGGGTGAGGGGATGATCTTAGAGGGAGAGGAATCCTTACATTACTATCACACTATCCCGTCACCAACCTTAGGGGCACCAGAGATCTTATAGTTATCAAACAGACATCCTATCACCATCTAAAATTCCAAGGATCCTATACTGACCTGGCAGGAGTCCTTCTGTTTCTCTCCTGCACAAATCATGTCTTGGGTGATGCCAAGAGGGAGGGAGATACTGTTAACGAAGAAGGTGGAGCAGGAGAGGTGATCCACTACAGGTACAGTCACCTTCTGTAGAATCCTCGACATCTCCCTAGCGCCTGTGTGGATATATAGTTACAGGTAGTATCACTTACAGAATCCTCGATATCTCAGCACAAATAGTTACAGCTACAGGTACTCGTAAGTGTGGGTACAGTTGTTTGACCATCTTATGGAAATTATATTAATTCAGAAACAATAGAATACAGTTTCAGTGAAAGTTACAATAAGTAAAAGTACAACTGCAATATCTCTTAAAGTGTAATACAGTACAGTACAGTTAAGGGGGCTCAAACTGTGGATGTACCGAGAGTGTATCCCCAGCCAACCACTGTCAGGTTCTTATTGACGTAGTCCTCATCAGGATCTTGTGGGAGACAGGCAGGAAGGACCCTCTCTGTCAGCCTCGCCTGCAGGAGATAGTATTGTTTCATTCGTAGGGCTTGTATTTTAAGGATGTACCCTCTGTGTGTGTGTTTGTTTCCATAGAGTGGGAGTATATTGTTCTAAGACCTCTCTCTCTCTATCTCTCTGTCTATCTACAGGATATCTATCTATCTGTATTGTATATCATTATCTACAGATGTATCTACACTACTCATTGTTTCTCTACCCTCAATTTTCTTCCTTCTCTCTTTCTTTCCCATCCTTTTTGCCTATCTCCTCCTTCCCCTTCCTCCTTCCCTTCCCTTCTCATCACCACGTACCGGGGTCTTCAGTTTCACGAGGGCTATGTCATTGTACTTGTAGAATCCATGGTACTCTGGGTGGATCTTCATGTCTCCCAGTTCGATGAGCTGCTCTGCTGGGACCATCTGCACTGGCTCATCACCAGTTGGGAGGCCACGAGCAGCAGCTGGGAGGTCACGAGCAGCAGCTGGGAGGTCACGAGCACCAGCTGGGAGGTCACGAGCACCATCTGGAAGGATATTAGCACGATTTTCGGTGTCAGGAATGCTAGGAGACGAGTCAGACAAGGCCTCACCATCTCCCACATCAGATGCATCCTCTTCCAAGTCACCCAAGCCAAATCTATGGTCAGCAGCACGATCCTCCAGGCCACTAGTACGATTTACAAGACCAGGACCACCAGCTGTAAGGTTATTTGAGGGGTCAGCAGCATCCAGAAGGTCAGCAGCACGGTAGAGAGAGGCTGGAGTGGGACCCGTCAACACCTCAACCTCCTCAAGTGACTGGTGGATCCTGTCATGTTCACCGAGTCTGGCCCAATAGGTCATCCCTTCCCTGTATAAAACAACGGGCTGGTAACTCCCACATGAAGATCGTATTATAATAGTGGTACCTGAACCATAATAATGTAGAAGTATAACAATAACCTCATTTAACCTAAAGCTTCCTAAAACCCGATAAAACCTTCCAAAACCTCCTAAAACCCGATAAAACCTCCTAAAACCCGATAAAACCTTCCAAAACCCAATAAAACCTCCCAAAACCCAATAAAACCTCCTAATATCCGATAAAACCTCCAAAAACCCGATAAAACCTCCTAAAACCTGATAAAACTTGATAAAACCACCTAAAACCTTATAAAACCTAAAACCCGATTAAACCTAAAACCTTCCAAAACCCGATAAAACCCGATAAAATCTACTTAAACCTTCCAACACCCAATAAAACCTTCTAGAACCCAGAAAAACCTATTGAAACCTTCTAAAATATGGTGAAACTTATAATTAATAGATAATTTTATTTCCCTATTACAAATATGAGATGAATGGATGCCCTTAAACCTGCAAAACCTGCTCGTCCTTAAATTGAACCTCTGAATGACGAAAATTATGCCGTACTTAAACACTATTAAACCCTAGCTATATATCAAATTATACAGTATACGAAATAAAATGCATTACCTACCTGTATGCGAAGAGACAGTGAGCAGCGGTGAGGATGTAGTGAGGAGATATAAGAGTACCTCCACAGATGTAATTCATTGGTTTATTTGGCATTTTCGTCCCGATGATGGCCTAGTGTTGACGTGTGATGTCATCGGTCAAATTAGAATAATTCGTTATGCACAGATTTGTATTTTTTTTAATTGCAGTGTTTTATTAAATTTATATAGTACTACTTTTATCGCATGAGAGAGGGAGGGGATAGAGAAGAAAGGAGTGAAAGGAAAAAGGTTGGGGACTTAGAGAGAGAAGAGGAGGTGGAAAGGAGTGACAAAGACAGTGAAAGAAGAGAGGAAAAAGACAGAAAGAGAGAGAGAGAGGAGGGTAGGGAAGAAGTAAATAAGACAGTGACAACAGAGAGGGAGAAGGAGAGGATTGAGATAGAGAGAAATACATACCATGTGGGGAAACTCTCCCAGCCTAGCGTTAACTCCACCAATAATTAGCTGCTTCTCACTGACGCAGCCTCGTCCTTCACCTCTTCTCCAGTAGTGACTCCACGCCTCGCACACTGACACAGGAACACAGCAGCGAGGATACATGAGGGATACAGATATACAACATCAGGGATACATATATACAACATTATGGTAGCAGGGTGTAGTGTATGGCTAAGAAATACAGTATACGCACACACACACACACACACACACACACACACACATGATTACAGCAACTGAAACGAACTAACACTGCCGGAGAGATAACGCAAGTTCATCTGTACCAAAGAGATGGAGATAGAGAGACAGGGAGGAGGGAGGGGAGAGAAGAACTGCGAAATAGAAAGGAAATGTGTAGAGGAAGAGGAGAAAGAGAGAGGGGAAGGAGAGAGAGAGAGAGTGAGTCTACTCCAGATACACTCACTTGGTATATTCGTTGGTATACTTGCTATGTATATTCTGGGGTATACTTACATTCCCTGAGTATACTTCCTAAGTATACTTGTGTAAACTCGTTCCTTGGGTATATTTCCGCGATATATTCACATTCCCTGGGTATACTTCCTCCGTTAACTGCTAGGTATACTCACGTTCCTTGGCCACCAGATGAGGCTTTCTACAGCACACGTAGAGGTTTGAGTGATGAGGATGGCACAGCTTCACCACGCCCTCACGCTTCACCACGCCCCCGTCATTCAGGCACGCCCACACTTCCTCACAGTACCCAAACACGCCCCCGCCCATCTCACAGTCGTCCCCCGGCAGACCTAACCCGTACTTTACTGGGAATGGAATAATAATAATGAACAATAATAGATGGAATGCGTATCTACACTACTTATTTTGTTTTCACCTGAAAAGAAGTAGTATTGTTAAAAAATAGGAAGACAGAGGAGAGAGAGAGAACATACCCTCAGCGAAGGAGAGTCCCAACACACACGTCAACAGCTGAACGATCGTCCAATACATCCCTCTGGCTAACAAGTTAACTCAACACTGAGGGAAGACCAGCAGCAGCAACACTCACACCCGTCCTTCTTTGGTACTGGGTGACGTCATCTTATATCTCGCCAATCGGCATCAGTCTGGACAAAACACAAGGACGATGTTTACTGAAGCTATGATGTGCTACTATTAGTTTTGGTCCTCTTGCAAACCTTCTGCAGGCACCCTCCCCCGTGCTCCTCCTCCTACCCCGTGTTCCATCTCCTCCCCCGTGAACCTCCTCCTACCCCGTGCTCCTCCTCCTACCCCGTGTTCCTCCTCCTACCCCGTGTTCCTCCTCCCTACCTCCGTGCTCCTCCCTCCTACCCCGTGCCTCCTCCTCTCCCCATGCTCCTCCTCCTACCCGTGCTCCTCCTCCCCTACCCCGTGTTCCTCCTCCCTATCCCGTGCTGCTGCTCTCCTCCTCCCCATGCTCCTCCTCCCTCCCCTATCCCGTGTTCCTCCTCCTACCCCGTGCTCCCTCCTCCTCCTACCCCGTGCTGCCTCCTCCCCTGTGCTCCTCCTCCTCCTCCCCCGTACTCCTCCTCCTATCCTGTTCCTCCTCCTACCCCGTGCTCCTCCTCTACCCTGTGCTCCTCCTCCTACCCCGTCTCCTCCTCCTCCTCACTCCTCCTCCTACCCCGTGCTCCTCCTCCCCTACCCCTACTGCTCTCCTCCTACCCCGTGCTCTTCCCTCCTCCCTCGTGCTCCTCCTCCTACTGCTGCTCCTCCTATCCATGCTCCTCCTCCTCCCCACCGTGCTCCTCCTCCTACCCCGTGCTGCTCCTCCCTACCCATGCTCCTCCTCCCCTACCCCGTGCTCCTCCCTCCTCCTCCTCCCTCATGCTCCTCCTCCTACTCCGTGCTCCTCCTCCCCTCTCCTCCCTCCCCTACCCCGTGCTCCCTCCTCCTCCTCCTCCGTGCTGTTCCTCCTCCCCGTGCTGCTCCTCCTCCCCGTGCTCCTCCTCCTCCTCCTCCTCCCCCGTGCTGTTCCTCCTCCCCCTGCTCCTCCGCCAAGAGCGGGGGTGCCCCCAATGGTCCTTCCAGGGGTGGTGGTGCCCCTAGGAGCCTTCCCCGGGGCCGCAGCGCCCCCAGGTACCCTCCTTAGGGGTTACAGCGTTCCCAGGGTACCCCCAGCGCCTGCAACGTCGCTAGGTGCCCACCCAGGGTCGCCTGTGCCCCCAAAGACCCTACCAAAGCGAGTGGCGATCCTGGAGCGCTGCCAGGGGCGGCGTCTCTCCAAGAAGCCCTCCTAAGGGCGGCCGCACCCACAGGGACCCTCCCAATGGTGGCGTCGCTCCCAGGGGCTCTCTTAGGGGCCCTCCCAAAGGCAGTGTCGTCCCCAGGGGTCATCTCAGGCGGCACTTAGGCCCTTTTGAGGGTGTCGGCGCTCCTAGGGGCCCTACCAGGGCAGCATTGCTCAGTGAGAAGAACAATCAATATTATGAGAGTGAGGGAAGGACATGCGGTGATGTGGAGGATGAGGAAAGGTTATGCGGTGTTTTGCAGGAGTTAGGAAGGATATGAAGTGATGTGCTCCATCTCCTCCTCGTGTTCCTCCTCCTCCCCTTCCTCTCCCTCGTGATCCTCCTCCTCCTTCTCGTGCTTCTCCTCTCCCTGCCTCCTCCTCCCTTGCTCCTCCTTCTCCCTCTTGCTCCTCCTCCTCCCTCGTGTTGCTCCTCCTCCCCATGCTCCTCCTCTTTCTCCCTCGTGCTCCTCCTCCTCCCTCGTGCTAACCTCCTCCCCATGCCCTCCTCTTCCCTCGTGCTCCCTCTCCTCCCCGTGCTCCTCCTCTTCCTCCCTCATGCTCCTCCTCCTCCCTCGTGCTAAACCTCCTCCCCGTGCTCCCTCTTCCTCCCTCATGCTCCCCCTCCTCCCCATGCTCTTCCCTCCTTCCTCCTCATCTCCCCTTCCTCCCTCATGCTCCCTCCTCCCCCCTGCTCCTCCTCCCTTGTTCCCTCTCCCATGCTCCTCCTCCTCCCTTGTTTCCTCCTCTCTCCCTCATGCTCCTCCTCTCCTCCCCTCAGGCTCCCCCTCTCCCTAGCTCCCTCCCTCCTCCCCTCATGCTCCTCCTCCCTCCTCATGCTCCTCCTCCTCCCTCGTGCTCCCCTCCTCCCTCGTGCTCTCCCTTCTCTCCCATGCTCCTCCTCCTCCCCGTGGTCCTCCTCCTCCCTCGTGCTCCCTTCCTCCCTGTAGTGTCCCTCCTCCTCCTTGTGCTCTCCTCCTCCCCTCGTGCTCCCCCTCCTCCCTCTGCCTCTCCCTTCTCTCCCATGCTCCCTCTTCCTCCCCATGCCTCCTCCTCCCTCCCTCATGCTCCCCTCCCCTTCATGCTCCCCTCCTCCCTCGTGCTCCCCCTCCTCCCTCATGCTCCTCCTCCTCCCTCATGTTCCTCCTCCTCCCCCATGCTCTCCCTCTTCCTCCCCGACTCCTCCTCCCTCCCTCATGCTCCTCCTCCTCCCCTCGTGCTCCTCCTCCTCCCCTCGGCTCCTCCTCCTCCCTCATGTTCCTCCTCCCCATGCTCCTCCCTCTTCCTCCCACGTGCTCCCTCCTCCCTCCTGCCCCCTCCTCCCTCGTGCTCCTCCTCCTCCCTCAGTTCCTCCCTCCTCCCCATGCTCTAGTTTTCCTCCCATGCTCCCCTCCTCCCCTGCTCCCTTCCTCCCTCGTGCTCCTCCTCCTCCCTCGAGTTCCTCCTCCTCCCCATGCTCCTCCTCTCTTCCTCCCGTGCTCCCCTCCTCCCCTCGTGTCCCTCTTCCTCCTTGTGCTCCCCCTCCTTCCTCGTGTTCCTCCTCCTCCCTCGTGCTCCCCCCTCCTCCCTCGTGCTCCCCTCCCTCGTGCTCCCCTCCTCCCGTGCTCTCTTCCTCCCTCATGCTCGCCCTCCTCCCTCATGCTCCTCCCCCCTCCTCGTGTTCCCCCTCCTCCCCTCGTATTCCTCCTCCTCCCCCATGCTCCTCCTCTTCCTCCCACATGCTCCCCCTCCTCCCTCGTGTCGCCCTCCTCCCTCGTGCTCCTCCCTCCTCCCTCGTGTTCTCCTCCTCCCCCATGCTCCCTCCTCTTCTCCCGTGCTCCCTCCTCCCCTCATGCTCCCCCTCTTCCCTCGTGATCCTCCTCCTCCCTCGTGCTCCCCTCCCCCTCCCCTCCAGCTCCCCCTCCTCCATCGTGCTCCCCCCTCCTCCATGCCTCCTCCTCCCTTCCCCTCCCATCGTGCTCCTCCTATTCCTCCCTCGTCCTCCTCCTCCCTCCTCCCCTCGTGCTAATCCTCCTCCCCCGTGTCCTCCTCCCCGTGCTCCCTCCTCTTCTCCTCGTGCTCCTCCTCCTCCCTCGTGCTCCTCCTCCTCCCTCGTGCTCCTCCTCGTCCCTTCGTGTTCCTCCTCCTCCCATGCTCCTCCCTCTTCCTCCCTCATGCTCCTCCTCCTCCCTCGTGCTCCTCTCCTCCCCATTCTCCCCCCTCCTCCCTTGCCCTCCCCCTTCTCCCTCATGCTCCTCCTCGTCCTCGTGCTCCTCTTCTCCCTGTGCTCTCCTCCTCCCTCGTGCTCCTCTCCCTCTCCCCTCATGCTCCTCCTCCTCCCATTCTCCCCCTCCTCCCCTTGCCCTCCCCCTTCCCTCGTGCTCCTCCTCCTCCCTCGTGCTACTCTTCCTCCCCTCATGCTCCCTCCTCCCTCGTGCTCCTCCTCTCTCTCATGCTCCCCTCCCCTCCTTCGCCTCCCCCTCCCCATTCTCCCCCTCTCCCCTCGTGCCCTCCTCCCTCATGCTCCCCTTCCTCCCCATGCTCCTCCTCCTCCTCCTCCTCCCTCCTCCCCCATGCTCTCCCTCTCCCTCATGCTCCCCCCCCTCCTCCCTCGTGCTCCCCTCCTTCTGTGCTCCTCTCCTCCCTCCTCCCCCTCCTCCCCTCCATGCTCTCCCTCCTCCCTCATGCTCCTCCTCGTCCTCCTTCATCCTCCCCCTCCTCCCTAGTGCTCCTCCTCCCCTCCCTCATGCTCTCCTCTCCCCCAGTGCTCTCCCTCCTCCCTCTGTGCTCCCCCTGCCTCCCTCGTGCTCCCTCCTCCTCTTGTGCTCCCTCCTCCTCCCCTCGTGCTCCCTCCTCCTCCCCTCGTGCTCCTCCTCCTCCCTCGTGCTCCCCCCTCCTCCCTTGTGCTCTTCTTCCCTCCCTCGTGCTCCTCCCTCCTCCCCTCGTGTTCTCCTCCCCATTGCCTCCTCTTCCTCCCTCGTGCTCCTCCTCCTCCATCGTCCCTCCTCCTCCTGCCTCTTCCTCCCTCGTGCTCCTCCTCCTCCTTCGTGCTCCTCTCTCCTTCGTGCTCCTCCTCTCCTCATGTCTCTTTTCTCCATGCTCCTCCTCCTTCCTCCCTCGTGCTCCTCCTCCTCCCTCGTGCTACCCTCTCTCCCATGCTCCTCCTTCTCCTTCTGCTGCTCCTCCTCCTCCCTCAGTCTCTACTCTCCCGTTCTCCTCCTCCTCCTCCCTCATGTTCTCCTCCTCCCTCTGTGCTCCCCTTCCCCCTGCTCCTCCTCCTCCCTCGTGTTCCCTCCCCTCGTCCTCCTCCTCCTCCCTCATGCTCCCCTCCTCCCTCATGCTCTCCTCCTCCCCATCATTTCTCCTCCTCTCCTCCCCATGCTCTCCCTCCCCTCGTGCTCCCTGTCTCCCTCGTCTCCTCCTCCTCCCCTCATGTTCCCTTCCTCCCCTCATGCTCCTCCTCCTCCTTCATGCTCCTCCTCCTCCTCATTGCTCCTCCTCCTCCCTCATGCTCCCTCTCTCCCCTCATCCTCCTCCTCCCCCTCCTTCCATGCTCCCCTCCCCTCCCATTGTTCCTCTTCTTCCCCTTCTCCCCCTCCCTGTGTTCCTCTTCTCCCTCATGTTCCTCCTCTCCCCGTGCTCCCCCTCCCCTCATGCTCCTCCTCCTCCTGCATTCTCCTCCCTCTCCCTTGCCTCCCCTCCTCCCTTGTGCTCCTCCTTCTCCCCTCTTGCCTCCCTCCTCCCCTCATGTCCTCCTCCTCCCCCATGCTCCCACCTCCTCCCTCATGCTCCTCCTCCTCCTCGTGCTTCTCCTCCTCCCTTGTGCTCCCCTCCTCCCTTGTGCTCCTCCTTCTCCCTCTTGCTCCTCCTCCTCCTCGTGTTCCTCCCTCCTCCCCATGCTCCTCCTCCTCCCTCGTGCTCCTCCTCCTCCTCGTGCTTCTCCTCCTCCCTTGCCTCCCCCTCCTCCCTTATGCTC